GAGTAGGCTCATGAGTTTGCCGACCTATGGTTCTAACCACTTAAACTTGGTACACAAGACGCGGTCATAAATCTTTCTTGTGACAATTTCAGTTTTTTTTTGCACATCTGCGAAAGTACACTTTTAGGAAGTGTTTCCACTTACGAACAGATGCGCGAAGAGAAGAAATAAGTGCTTTTATTATCACCATAGAACCATTTGTACTCCCGCCTGCGGTCGCGGAAAGCAATAAAAAGAAATCTCAATAACTTCTCTTCAATACTGCAATGCCCGAAGCTAGGTTCTCTACCAAGTGCGCCACTGCGACTTCATCATACACTAAAGCTGCAGAGCCATTACATGTCCTCAACATGCAGATATTTTCATATAAAAATTCCTTTTATCTTGCTAAGAAACTTTTCAAACCTTCTCCATAAATCAATACGGCAAACAATGTGAAATAAAATTGTATGCGTCACTGTGAGCGAAGCATTTAGCAAACACTTCGTGTTACTGCAAAGTTAACTGTCCATAGTCTTCTCGTAAGAAAGGAATATTTCCTGCAAACACACATGCACACACATATATTTATTTATTTTATTTACAGTACCTTACAGAGCCCTCGAGGGGCATTGTGTAAGGGGGGCGGTACAGATAATATGTTAGAAAAATATATTTACATATATATTACACATACATAGGCAAATATTGAATATAATAGGAAATGCAGTTCAACTTATGAACATGTAAGCGAAATACATACGAGAAAAGTGAGTTACAGTATGTGAAGGTGAAATACAAAAAATATGACAGTAACTACAACCTAGCAATAGTGCAAAAACATCGGCAACAGTCCTATAAGCATAGATGATTACGAAGATGTGATAGAGCAATTTTTGGTGCATAAGTATTTTTTAAAAGTATGATAGAACTTTGTGTGGTCTTGTTTTGACGCAAGATCATGTGGCAAATCATTCCACAAACGAATAGCTCGTGGAAGAGCCGACTGGTTGAAAGCGTTAGTATTGCCGTACATGCGTGATAAGCTAAAGGTGTTATGTAGTCTGCTCGAAGCTCGATGGGCTAGATTAAGGTGAAGAGATGGCATCATGCTGGTGTGGATGAGTTTGTGAAATAGTGATAAAAGTGAGATGTCACGGCGAATTTTCAGTGGCTCGAGTGCAAGGCTATGTTTATTCTGTGCTATGCTGGACGGGTAGCTGTGATTACGCGCTATGAATCAACTTGCTCTGTTCTGTATACATTCTAACTTATCTATGAGGTATTGTTGATATGGTGAGCAAATGGAAGATGCAAACTCCAGTTGGGGACGAATTAGAGCAAGATAAGCCGGTTTGCGTACATCGGAGGGAGCACTGTATAGATTTCGGCGCAGAAAACCTAATGATCTTGATGTGTTGGCACAGATCAAAGTGATATGTGTGGACCACGAAAGTGTAGAAGTTAAGTTTATGCCTAGGTATTTGTAATGATCAGTGCGTTCAACAATGCTATTATCAATTGTGTATTGGCTATCAAAGTTATCACGTTTGCGACGAAAGGTGATTAGTTTGCATTTGGAAACATTAGGTGTCATCTGCCATGTTTTGCACCACTCATTAATATGCTCGAGGTCTTTTTGAAGAGTTAGATGATGGCTATTGTTGCGGATGGGACGATAGATAATGCTGTCATCGGCAAATATATGCACACATGAGGATAAGTTGTCAGGCAGGTCATTATAGTAGATGAGGAAAAGTAAGGGACCAAAAAAACTGTCCTGTGGTACACCAGAGGAAACGTAACAAAGTGATGAAGAGTGATTATTGGCGATAGTGTATTGTTGGCGGTTAGTTAGGAAGTTTCTGAGCCATGTTAGCGTGAGTGAATAAAGCTTTAGTGATGACAGTTTTAACATCAAGCGACAATGAGCAACACAATCGAATGCCTTCGCAAAATCAAGAAATAAACAATATGTCTGTAGATTACTGTTCATGTTAGAATGTAGGTTGGTGGTGAACTCAGAGTTGAGACTTGCAAGAACGACCCGTTCGGAACCCGTGCTGGTTAGAGAAAAAGAAATTGTTCTAGATTCTAGATGCACATAAATGTTAGAAGCTATGATATGCTCAAGCATCTTGCAACATATGCACGTCAAGGAAATGGGGCGATAATTTCCAGTTGAACTTTTACTACCATATTTATGGACTGGCATTACCTTCACTATCTTCCAGTCATAAGGCAACATTCCTGTAGTGAGCGACTGCCGAAAAATGTGAAACAGGATAGTGCCAGACACATAAACAGTGTTCTTTAATAATTTTGAATTGATATCGTCAATACCAGAAGATGGTGACATCTTCAGATTTTCAATAATTTTAACTATGCCTTCAATTGTGATATGTAAAGGTGACATGAATGAGTAATCGTGTTCAACAATTTCTGGAAAATGATCATTCTTGCTAGTAAACACGGATGAAAAGAATGAATTAAAGACATGAGGACAATCAGTGTCTGCAAAAGGAGTGTTATTTGCATCTTGTAATGAAATGAAGTTATCGTCGCGATCAGGACTTGTTACTTTTCAGAATTTTTTCGGATTAGATTTTAGGAGCAAAGGCATATATATATATATTATATATATATAATTTTGAGTAAGCTTTGTGAAAGGACTCCGGTGGAAGGTATTCCCATTTATGGATACACAAAAAAGACTTACACACCACATAGGCACACAATGGGTGCATCTATAAAAAAAATGCTATACACCAGTATTTTTTTTTTTTTTGCAGTGAAGCCTATCACTTATTTTATTGTTTTTTATTTTGTGTAATGTGCTCTGTCAATCTTGAAACAGCATTATGTCCTGATTAGAAATATTGTAATAAATTCAGCTGGACATGGCTTGAAACTGGATAGTGCTACGGGATCTATTTCTCTATGTATCTTGTTTGTGTACCTGATCCCACACTGAGCAGTAAGGATCTCTTGTGACAAAATTTTTTATTTACAGCTTGTACTACTTTTTCTTTGTAATGTTGCTTGCACATAACTACAAATTGTGTTGTTTTGTCTGATAACATACGTCAAAGTGTCGCTTCTCAGAAATCAGACAGTGCATTGAAAAAGCATTGCTAGGTCTGATGAAAAATTTTATCCAAAAAAATTGGCAGACCCCACACAGTGGAAATCGATGATATGCGAAGCATGAATTAGGAAGGCTGATATGTCGCTTTAAAGTCAGCAAAATGCTACGAGGCGCACGTAAATTATGCTGTACATGTCTTCCATGTAATGATTATCATGTTTGGACGTGTCATTTACATTCGTCCTCTATTTACGTTGCGTGATACAAAATTCGGTATATGTGAAACTTTCAAACGGATGCGAGCACGCTACAAGCGTAGCGTGTAGTCATGTTTTACATGACACACATGTCATGATTATCATGTGTGGACGTGTCATTTACCTTCATCTATTCAAATCACATGATACCAAATTTGGTATATTGACTATTTAGGGTGAGAATACCTAGATATGCAAGACGACAAGAATTTGGAGGAACACTGCTGGCTGCTTTTGTCCAAGTTTCTTGTGTGACACTTTCAGTTGCCACCTGCTCTCATGAAGGTCCATTCATCGCTTTGAAACTACTTGAGCATCAGACCCACAGAACTCTCGTTGGAATTGCTTGGGTCTGTACGAATGTTAGCCAAGCTTGAAAGACACTAAGCCTTGCAGATGGTGAGGTCATTAGCCCTATGTGGGGCCCAGTCATGCGCCTATCCCGCACAATTTTTGTTAATAAGAAAAAGAAACACATTTGCTAAAACAGTGTTCAGAGTGATGGCTGGGATCACCATGGGAGTGCCCGGATCGTCTGGCTTTGACTGCCCTCTTGGTTCCGAATAGCTAACAGGGGAACGAATCAACAGCATGACAAAAAACAACAGCAAGAAGAGGAATAATGGTGCTGTTGTCTATAGTTCCCTTTCTTCTCCTCGTTTTCTGTTCTGTTGCACTGTACATGGGACAGGGGGTGAAGCTCCCCCATTTTGCCAGCCCCCCTTGCCTGACCAAGGAGCACCCCCCTCCACCCTGATAAAAGAATCCTGGCACCCCTCCTGTTATTACGATGCCCTCTCGGCCCTGGCAACAAGTTGTTGCTGGTCCTTAGCCTTTCACATGTGCAACAATTAAAAGAAACATAAAAGGCTCCTTGTGTAGTTTTAGCTGGAACACAATGTGTGTGAGTGCCTTTCTTATATATAGTTATATATGAGAGCATATATATGATGTCATATAGTTAGCATACTGTTGCAGTGCTCCTGAGCCAGTTCATAGCTGTTGGTAGGACTGCTATAATCAGCAACACAGTGCATTGCCTTCTGTCAGTGTACAGGCATGATGCAGTGCTTGCTGGTGTGTGCAATGCACTGGAACAGTTTGCAAGAAGTGGTGCGATGTGTTCCACAGTAATTAAGAAAAAGGAAAGAAAATTCCGCACTACAGCGGGTTAAAACCAGGTAAACTGCTTGCCGCCACGCATGGAGGCGCAGGACTTTGAAGGTTTTTTTTTTTTTTTTTCCCTCGCTTGTGCGGTGCAGTAATCGCCAGTAAGAATACCTCATCCAAGTACGCAAGGGTCGCACTAGCAGGAAATTAAATAAGCACAGCCAAATCGATTGCGCCCTTTCATATCCGTGCTGCGTGTGCCTTTCGCGACACGTTAAAGAAACGAAATCGAAGAACGAGGATATGTTCGTTCGTGCGTCAGAACACTTTATTCACGTGTATATGTAAATAGGTGTAAATATTTGAAGTAAATAGTGTAACTATATATTTGTTAGAGAAACAAGTTCCAGCGATACATGCTTAACACATCAAATCGCTCCGTTTCGTGACGATGAGCATTTGGCCCACAAACTTCACCTACGTAGTTCGTAACTTGAATGGGTAACTGGCACACTTACGTGAAGCAGCAATGTCACCTGCTTCGAGGAGTTTCCTTTTTCCCAGCTTCACGAATCGAGCGCAAAAAAGGATGAGTCGCAGCGTTTCAACAAAGCTTTCGTCGGCTTTACCGCGGAATAGCAGACGTCCTGCTGGTTGTTACACAGAGACACTGCGTCTGCTAGGCAGATTACGTTCGAGTCCTCCGTGCGGCTTGTGAGCACAGCGTAGATGTGCGCGTGGCTCCCTGGCCGGCGCCGCAAACAGCGTGCTAGCTTGGCCTCGGGTACGAGAGTCACCGAACCCGCGCACAGTATGGCGTGCCAGCTGCACAGCGATTTTCCGGCGCGCCTCTGTTCCGCCACGAAGTCGTGCAACAGGCGCTTGGCGAGGTTGGCGTGAATTTGCCACTTCCGCGAAACCCACTTGTAGGTGACAACTTCGTTGGCGTCGAACACGAGGTGTTCGAGCGCTTCCAATATTGAGTTCGTCAGCATCGGTTGACGCAATGTCGCCATAGGTACAGGAAGCTAGTATCGCGCTTCAATGCGAGTGGTTCTTAAGATAGAGAAAGGAAGAGAAAAGTGAGCCCCGTTATTGTCTGCTTCAGGAGCGACACCGCCACAGAGCTCACAAGGGATGGGGGTGAGGAGGGATAAAAGGGTAGAAGTAAAGGTATAGAAAAGAGGAAGAAGAAGCAACAACAAATCTGAGGGGATAGGAGAGACAGGAAAGATGGAAGCACGGTCACTGGAGTCCGAGGACGGGGTACACTTGCGAGAGATGTTGTCGGCGTCTGTAGATGGCGTAGAGCAGGTCCAGTAGGTCAGAGCTGCGCTGTCGTCGAAGACCGTCGGCGACAGGAGGTGACGTAGGGCCAGCCCAGTCGGCCAGAGCTACGACGACGCCGAAGGTCGCGAGCGCGCGGGCGCACAACCGGTCGGCACGGAATCCAACGAGCGAGTCCCGCTTCAATGGCAATAGCGCTCGTGTCTTTGTCTCTGTGTCGTCGTTTTGTTCTCGCGCTATAACTATCGTCATGCCATACCAACTAGCCCAAGCTGCCACACTTCAACGGCAGCCTCGCACTTCAGCCATATACTTTGCCAGTAGTCTGGCCAACTTCAGCAGACTGATCTTGGTGTTAAAAAAAAAAAAAATTTGACTATTTGTGGTCTCTGTGAAGGTGGTAGGCGGGACTTCATAGCACAACAATATGTCAAACGTATTTTTTTTTTGTGCTAATGTTTAATTATACCCTAAATAAGAGGCTTTAATATACTAAATAAGCGCGCCGCTACAATGTTTGGCTAGTTTAGTCGGTAGAGCATGAGACTCTTAATCTCAGGGTCGTGTGTTCGAGCCCCACGTTGGGCGTAAACTTTTATTTTTTTTATTTTTTAAAAACATTGTGATAAAAACGTGCATTACTTAGGAGCTCCGCCCACAAGAGCATAGCGCACTGGTTAATCATCTGCATAACAGTCGTGCAAGCTGGTTCGAAAACTAATAACTTAGTCGTTCCTGCTTGAAGTGCTTGAAGCATGACATTCGGCTGAGAAGTATATCAGAATCTCAGATTAAATTAACCTAATATGTTCAAATTTTCGACTAAAAACCATCGACACAAACATGTCTGTACGGACACGCCAACTTTGCGAAGCACGAGCAGAATGCTTGACGTCATAGAAATGCGAATGTGTCATTGTACAAATTTTCTTCGAGAGAGAGAGGTTGAGGAAAGGAAAAGCATGTAGGACCGCCCAGGTAGGGGCGTAGCCAAGGGGTGGCACATCGAACCCGTGCCCCCCCCCCCCCCCCCCCCCGAAAGTTTTTTTTGCCATATGGCATAAAGAGCGAAAAATGACCACTTTAAGGGGCGCACCTCCCGAAATCAAAGTGATCAAAAGCGTCTGTATCTTTATGTATACATCATCATCGTGCTGTAGTATCGCACGACCATGACGGTGGCACCGTAACGATTGACAGCTCTGCAGCATATCGTAGCGTATGAAATGTCATTCGCATCAAATAGAAGCAGGAAGTGGTCATAGTGATTGGTGTTTGTGGTAATTTGCAAAAGCATAACGAAAGTAGTGGCATGCACCCTCTAGACTGAAAAACTGTCGTAGGCATGTGTAACCACTAGCTCTAATCATGAAATAAATATCAAGTAGTTAAATGAGTTCAAGGACAGACAACAAAGAATAATATACTGCAATAGGTGTAGTAAATCCCTCAATAAATCAAATAGGTTCAGTTTACCGTGGTAGACTGTCGCCGCCTCTTTTTAAAGGGGATGCCATTAAACAAGAACATCACCATTGCCAAAACATAGAGAAATAAAAAAAAAAGGTTAAGAGCGGTGAGAGCAACAACTCCACCCACGGAGTGACTCCACCTTTTTTTTCTCCGTGCCCAACGTTTCTAGACCTAGTCTAGAAACGTTGCCCGTGCCAGTATAGTGCCAGCGGCCCAATCGACCCAAGCACACCTAGTGGTTGGTGAGAGCAAGTGGCGTGCGCTTCCCGTTCAGTTTCACTGGCACAAATTTTGAATTACTTTGCATAACCGACGTTTGGCAATGACGAAAGTTCATGATTTCAGACCACTTTTCATCGCCCAAATGGATAGTTTTTGTAGGTCGTTTTGATTTAGCGATTCCCTGTTTTGTTCAGTGGTTCGTGCAAATTGGTCGCGACGAAATTTTTATTTCAATTAAGTTATAATAAAGAGAGATGCAGTTAATGATAAATCACTACTGTTTTATTCATCGCACTTGTGTTTTTCTTTTGGAACAAGTGATCAATGTATATATAATTCAAAGAGACAGAGTATCTGCAATGTTTTATTCAAAGGCAAAGTAGAGTCCGAGAATATAAAAAGCACAATAGGACAAAGGTAGACAACAAATGCATCTCGCCTTACAAATAAATTGTAACAAATATTGTAACAAATACAGAGAGAACACAGACAACGCACACATCGCTAGAGTTGGCAGAAGCCGAGAAGCTGGTGAAGTATGACACGCCGGGCCAGTGGGTAAGTAAGGATCTATGGCAAAAACACAGCGCACAATGCTGATGAAGAAGGAAGAAGTGACATATACACAGCAATGAAGTCGTGAATCACGCCTGGGGTTAACCGAAATAATGCATAGAAAAAAAGAGCGCATAGAAACCACACGACACAATATAGCAGAAAGGAAAAGGTGCAGTGTGCTGGCTGTGCTTAAGAACAGCTAGCCCAAAATGAAAAAAAGCAGACTTGATGCCTGCTTGTCCTCGGAAAGGTAGGGCTTTGCAGCTTGCTCACTACGTGAAAGACAAACTTTATGCTACAACACTGGCAGGTCTTGTGGCTCTTCTTATCATCAAAAACTTAAGATCCCAAGTGATTTGCGTCTGGGTGTTGCTGTGACGCTTGCGAGCTAAAATAGATTGTAGTCATCACTTATCCAGAATTGTGGACCTTAATTGGTGCTACGAGAGCGGTATTACAGGGCTAATAAATAGCAGAAGGAAACCACTTTGGCTCATTATTTTTCACAAAGGCTCTACATCGTACGTTATCACTCACAAGCTATAAAAAAATAAAATGGCAGCGTCCGCAGCCCCATCAAACGCTACAAATTTGGGTATTCTTTTGAAAAATTTGATGGGCGAGATGAGAAGGTTGATTAGAAGCTAAAATACGAAAAGCGTGATAACGTGAACCGTGCCCACTTCATACTGTGTTCCTTACCCGCTCAAAGACATTTCAACAAGCGGTTTTGTTATCGATATATTACTTGAGCTGGAGAGATAAAGCATACACAGTGAAAATCGACCCACAGTAAAGTGTACAGTTCGCCCGCATTTGCTACAAAAATACAGACAAGATACCCAACATTCTTTTTAAGGTTATGCAAATCACTTCGAGCGAATACACAGTGTCCCTACTCCTCATAGCGGGTAACCAAAACAATGTATGCAACGAAGGAGCGGTTAGTCCAGTTGAACTGAATATAAGCATATAAGACCATAATGAAGTCTGCTGTAACGAAGTAATAACATAACAAAGCTATTACAGGATTCGGTTCAACTCGAATACTTTAGTGTAAACCCGCCGCTAATTGCCAACCTTTGAACTTGTCAAGTTGTATGCCTGTGATAGAAGACTGGAACCTAACCCTATCTAAGTTTCGGTTCACAAAACGCACATGCCAACATAAACGAACACGGCAAAACATTTTCAGAAACTTCGCGCGATACCCAGCAGAGCAGAAATGAAAATCGCCAACACTTGACAGATGGTGATACAAAACATCGCACACTTTCAGGTGACGTGCAGTGGCCTCAATCATGGCAAGAAAGTGAGATTCAAGTTGTTGTACGTATGCAAAAGCTGCTTCTGATATCACAGTGAGATTCCCAAAAAGTTTGCCGGGGCCGTGGTATGCTTTGAGCATTGTGAAATACTGGTGGGTGCCCTTAAGCGTCTCACTGTCATCTTTCAGTAACTGTGGGCAACTGCAACCATCACATGCATTTCGAAGGAAGTGTTTGACGAGAAAACCAGCTACATAATATGCAGCGGAGTCATCGATAATATGAGAGTGAATGTTGGTCGCAAGTTCAGAGAGATCGTCTAGAGCGGGAAAGTCGTCAGGCTGTGGCTGTGCACACTCCTCATTATCCACAAGAGACGCACTGGTGAGGGAGAATGGCGAGAGCTGCTCCTGGAGGAGGTCCCATTCATCATCTTCGACATTTCCATATTCTGACAGCTTGAAGAGTTTTCTTATGCAGATGTGCTTCAGGCCACAAATAAATTGTGCTACATTGGGGTTGGTGTTGCAACCCTGTTTTTGCCTAATGTGGCCAAATATGTTCTCCAGAGGATCCCGTTGAAGCCTGCATGTTAACAGGTATTCAAAATTGTAATTTTTGGAGAGGTCGTCCCATAGTTGACAAATAGCCTGAATTGTAATTTGCCAACCTACGATGGTTTGTGGTTGACGTCTGCCAACAAACTGCCATGATGCAATCCAGGGAAGCTGGCCTTGGAGGAAATCAATCAGCTCTGAATCATTTATTCATGATTGCATGCCGCAGATTTTGCGAAGTTCTTTTTTTACTCGAGCTGTTCAAGGCATCGAAAATCCTGTCCATACGATCACAAAATTGAGCTGTAGTGATGGCCAAGGCAGGCAGCACCTTCGCATACACCATTGCCGTGATAGCAATCGAAACTGATGCACTGAGGACCCGAGTTGCTCTGCTGACCTTCATATTAGAAAAAGGTTTCTGATGAACGTGCCGTTCAGTAAACTTTGGAGCCAATCGCAACCCCAACTCATGTGAGGATTGGTAAAGGCTTACAATGTGCGGCCAGTTAACGATGTCATCCCCAATGTATAACTTCTGTGCTTGGACATTATTGCGCATTCTTTTAATTAAATGCGGAACATAAAAAATGTAATACACTCGCTCACCATTAACTTCAAAAAAAAGGCTTTGCTACAGTCACTCTTAGT